TGAATTTACAAAATTGTAAACATTATTTCAATGAAGAGGACTGTATTGTATTAAGTCATTCTTCATTGACTAGTCAATGTAAATTGCTTGACATTTTAGTGAAGAATCGTCAAAGTATTATGATTCTTGTGAGCAACATGACCAATCTTTGTGCATTAAGTGCTCGTTTTACGAATGAAATGGTCTCTGAATATAGGTCTGCAAGAATACGTAATAACATTGATGATGAAGTGATTCTATGCAAAGATGAAGATATTCAATGGTTGGTTAATGAATTACCATCAACGTGTGCAATAAGTAGACATCCATTTTGTGTTAATCATATTCGAATATGGATTAAATAATGACAATAATATTTCTATGTAGATTAAATGATCATTTTTTTTCTTGTAAAATAAATAATTATTCCAAATGAATAGATCGATATTTTGAGATCAATGTAGAAAAACCATGACATGATATCGATTCAGATAAATAGAACGAAAGAAAAAAAGCTTTTATAAATACTGTTAGGTTTATCTAATCGTTAATACGTTGACAATAATCATTATACTTTATAATAAATCTTATTAGAAGAACGAATAAAAATTTCTACTGAAGAGAGAAGTAAGAATATTTTTATTTGACAAATTTTATGAATTATATCATTTTCTTTTTATTTATAACTAATCAATGATAGAATCAATCGATTTCTGATTATAGTATGACATAGGTATTGCAATGGGATTGAATCCAAAATGTCTACTCTAACATTTTAATACTCTCTTTTAGATTATGTTTCACGAAATAAGTAAAAAATTATTATTGTTGATTAATACTTGTTTTTTTTTGCGTAGTAGAGTATGGATGTAGATGGAAAATATAAAATAGAATTCTTAATCATACCCACACCTTCACCCACACTCGTGGGAGAAATAGATGTAAACTTGTTAACTGGATAATTGGCTAAGAATGCAGTGACTAATTCGTCTTCATAACAAATCATCCACTTGGCAATTTTTCATGACAAATTGGTGTGATAATCACATAATAATGTATATATATTCGTGCGCTCGAAGTGTATGTTATACAACTGAAATGGCATCACGAGAATCAATACTGTTGGTAATTTTTTCGTTGATACAACTTGGGAGCTCAAGTCCCATATGTAAGTAAAATAATATAGCTATTTTGTTTTTTTTACAAAACTTAAGTTGATGCATTACTCATAGTTCATGAAAAGCAATAGATTTTTCGGTTTTGATCGTTTACGAAAACGAAAGACAATTTTCTTTTTGGATAAATTAAGACTTTGCAGTGTCCTATAAAAATAATATCTTTCATATGTAGAAAAAAATTTATATCTTCTGTTTCCTTTTAACAGCTGCTTTGAATAAACACGACGTACTTCCATGGGAAACTCAAAATACGAATGACAATTATTATTTGAATGCGTTCTTTGGTTTTTCAGTAGAAAAACCAGAAGGATGGTATGCATTAAGTAATCAAGAAATTTCTTTAGCGTTATCAGGTAATATTGGATTACAAATAATTAACAACACGACACTTGGTATAACATATGAGAAAGCAGTAATTAACAAAATTATACCTCTTTTTTATTTTATGGAAAATCCACTAAATATACAAAATAATACCTTTAATGCAAACATTATGGGATTGGCTTTCAATTTAACGGGTCAACAAATTACAGGAGATGTTTGCGATTTTCTTGAGAGTTACAATAAAGAAATGCAAGAAAAAGGAGTGACAAAAATGATGGGAAGTAGTGTATGTCAACAAATTGATATAAATGGAGTAGAATTCAAAACGGAAGAATTGACATTGAATGTGGGGAACTTACTGATTCTTAAACAAACTGAAATTGTTAAAATCACAAATAATGGTTATATCTTTCTTTTCACACTATCCTATACCAACGATAAAAGCAAAAATATACTTAATCGTACTATGAGTACTCTAAAATTTTCGTGAAAAATAATGTTGTAATTTTTTGTTATAAAAAATGATTGTTCTTTATGTAAAAGAAACTCACTTTTTTGTTTATTCAAAAAGTTAAAATAGATTGTAGAATAAAATTTAGATTAGTGTTCATTAAACAACTACAATACATTGATATCAACGAAACATTATCTAGCAAAGAATATTCTTGAGTCTAGTTGTTTGAATGAAATATAATTGTAATTTTGACATAGTCGACTTCAGATCGCGAATTATTGCCATTCTCGAGATATTCATCTCACATCAATCCCTACTGAATAGTCGACACGTCAGTATTATCGAGTTCGAGAGTACCTGAGATCGAATTTTTTTCTTCGTTATGTAACATGTGAGACATGAAAATGCAATATAATTTAAAATCAGGACATCTTGAATCTATAGAAACAAAAATATTTGTAATTATTCTTTTGTCAGACTCGTCAAATGTGTAGGATTTGTCTTTTGTTATAAAAAATCATTCAAATATAATAAAAAAAGAATAAGTTGAAAATTAATTATACGATAAAATATAATATCTGACAGACCATTAATTAATTATGCTAGATATATATTTTTATCATTTCTTCTTAAATTGATGAAGAAAACCAGAAGACGTAGAATGGGTCTAAGAAATACTAGTCAATTTTTCATAATTAGCTATCTGTTAATTATAATCTTACCCATGTAAATATTTTTGTGTCAAAACGCGTTTAGATTGCGTCTGAATTTCAACAACTGATCGCGTATGGACACAGCCTAAATTAATCATTCAGTACGTACAGACGCGTTTTAGGAGAATTTAAATATTAGGCAAAAAATACATCAGTTCATCTCAGATTCGAAATGACCCTTTATTACGCGAACATTCTGATGATCTTAGTCTACCCTGTCAAATGAATTGAAGTTTTACTGAAAGTGACGAGCAGCAGATTTGAACATGTGAACTAACATATACATTTTCAAGGTTGGATATATTAACGCAATGATATTCACTTCTATCTGTGAGAATAATACTCAACATCTTATCTTATTTTTTCTGACAACTTCAATAGTGTTAAATAAAATGACATGTTTTTTGTCTCTTCTTATTTATCAAAAATATATACGGTAACTGGATGTTCTTTGCTTTTATGAGCATAATACCTCAATGCTTTGGTGTAAACTATTTCCTTCTTCGGAATGACAATTCTGCAAATTATTATAAGAAAATTCATAAACCTTCTATTTTTCGCAATACGTAAAAAGAATAGATCTTCTTCACTGAATAAATTCTTAAATGATATTTAATAATAAAAAAAATCCATATAAACTTTATTTTAATTCCTATAAAAAAGTTCAAACTATATAATTACAAATCTTTTTATATGTCACATCCTTTGATGAACAAAAAAAAAAATTTTTATATAAATGAAATAAATAATCCAAAACGAACTATTTGGGTAATAGAAAATAAGATAAATAATATACTTATTCATACTATGGTTTTAATAAAATCAGTAAATTTTATTTTTACATCGAACAATGGAAAGATACGGAATTTATTATGAAATGTAATATATTTTAACTTATATCGATATTATTATTTTCCTTTACAAGATAGCTGTCTTATATTATATTTAATTTAAATAATTATTTATACGATTAAATTTGTAGAAGACTTAAGATCATTGAATAAACTATTAGAGATACGCAATAAATACAACAGATATTTATAAGGATGAGTCAAGGTATATACACGTGTATTTTATTCAAATCATACCGACATCTACCTATTCGATTTAACAAATCATAAATATACTTTCGTTTTTGTTATTACGCATAAAATCTATATTACTCATACTTAAATTCAAGAAAAATATTAATTGAAGTAGACGGATATTTCCTAACAGATATAATAATGACGGGCAACAAAAAACGATTATACGATTGTAACAATAATAATATTACAAGTATTATTTGATTTCGTTAAATTTTAAAATGTTTTTCTTAAAAACTGTTTATTTTTTATTTTTGTGATGGAATTTTATTCCTAAAACTGCTCTACAAAAATTTTATTTTTGTAAAAAAAATCCCTGTTTTTTACTTATAAAAAAATGTTTTTTTATTATGTATACATAACTTATTTTTCTGTTTACAATTACTTAATTATAAATCATTTACCATCATTATGTATACCTTATGATCATTAAAGTGTAACATCGACGAAAACAAAATATCAACAAAAAGAAAAAATAAGCGAACGGAAAAGAAAATCTATTACACGAGTCATTTGACGAAATAGAAATATTTTATTCTATACATATTAATACATGAAATCGATAATTAAACATTATTAAAATTTCTTTAACTAATTGTGGTAAGTAATTTATATCGATAAGTTTACAGATAATATTAAATATTATACGTATCCAATTGTACTAATATATAAATAATTTTTTTTGTATTTAGAGAAATAATGAATTTTATTTCTGAATAAGTTTTAAATAAAAAGAAAACTAACCGGAATATAGATAAGGAATTATTATTTTCTAAATAGTTAAAATCAATGAAATTATACAAGAATTCTATCATGGAAATATTAACATGACTATTTCAAGATAAAATGTGGGTGAATATTAGTAGTTAAATCACCTCTTTCCAATGATGACACTCGCAGCTCTCCTGTCGAAAGTTATTGAAAAATACCCACCGGATTTTTATTTGAAATGAATATTTGATCATAAATAACACAGCCAATCAAAACCATGATATTGCAATGTACAGCTGAAATAAAAATTAAATGATTCTTTCAAACAACTATTTCCTTATATCTAAATTATTTTTTTAGATTTTATAATTATCTCGTGTATATTATTTTGACAATGCTCGAAGCAATGGGTATGTAAAAATGGGTATATATAAGTCCTTTTATGTATTTAATCAAACGAATTAAAAAATGTGAAAAAAAGTCTTATCATTAGTCATTCGAATATATAAAATAATTACGTTTGCTTGAATCTTGATGTACTTTTTTTCATATCAAATTGATAAAAAAAGATTAGATCTAATATTTTTTGACATGTCATCAGCAATCAATTCATAATAAAAAAATATTAGTATATTAAAAGTTATTAAACAGACAAACGCATCGAATGACTTTTTTTTTGCATCGAAAATTCATGTTTTAATCTTTTTCTAATAATTTAGCTCGTCCATCTCCTAAAATACCTGTTTGGCGTTTTGATACAAATAGACTTCGTTGGTCATCTGAACTTCCAACTCCATATTCATATTCAAAACCAAAAGTACTCAAATCACTTCGAGTTGTTTCATACAATATTTGGTTTGATCTACAATATCAAAAAACACGCTTTGAACATCTATGTCTTATATTAAATCATTTAAAACCACATATTATATGTTTACAAGAAAGTAAGAAAATCGATATGTTTGTATTCATTTAGTCATTGCTATCAAATTGAGCTTAATTAGACATGTGTCTCTAGATATGTAAAGATCTTGGCGCTTTTTCTTACTACTTACTAATTTTGAACCGTATCCACATCTGTCATAAAATCTGTTTCATAGAAACCTGACTCCGAGGGATCTCGTTAAGTCGCAAAATAAGAGTGTCCGCCTTATCATTATCTTAAGCTTCTCATTCAATTATAAGAACAGGTTTTCTTTAGTATATCCATACTCCATTACATCTCTAATACTTGGAGCAGTGATAGAAAGCCCTGTAAATTGTCTACCGACTGTACTATTTACTTTCTAAAACTGTTATTCTTAATCTGGAGTTTTTTAACGATAACTTCTCTCAATAAAGCTGGTTTTTTTTACAATATCTATAGTAACTTGACATACTCGGCTAGCATATACTTTTTGCCAATGTATTTACATAATATATTTCAGTGACAATTCCAGTATTACAAGTATTAATTACTCAACCATGGGTACAAGATCAATATGTATTAAGTGATGTTGATGGAAGAACATTTGCTAAAACTGGAAAACGTTATGGTGTAATAATGTTACTAGATAAATCTTTAATTGTACGACAATTATCAATATTTCCATTTGTAACTAAACAAGGAAGACAATTATTATTTGCTCAAATATTAATTCGGTCAGAATTATTTTTAGTTGGAACTGTACATTTAGAATCGATGCCTGATAAAGAAACTTTTCGATCACGTCAATTACAAGTTTGTCAAACTATATTTAATAGATTTGCAGTAACTCATCCAAATGTCACATGTTTATTAATGGGTGATTTTAATTTTGCTCCTGAATGGTTTGAAAATGCAAAGCAAATGAATATTCTTCGAAATTGGGCTGATTTATGGCCAGCAATACATGGTACTGATGATCCTGGAGTAACACATAAAAATTATAGATTTGATCGAATTTTATTTCAAAGTTCACGTGTAATACCAAAGAAAATGAAAATAATTGGTGATAAACCTATTGCTCAATTTTCAAAAGAAAAAGTATCTCCTATTAAAATACTTAGCAATTTATTTTTTCATAGTACAAATCCAAATACAGTAAATGTATATCCATCAGATCATTTTGGTTTAATGGCTGATTTCAATATTAAACATATTTAAGAAATTAAATCACAAACTTTTATATATGTACATTTAACTATATATATATACTTCAATATTTCTCATAATAAAAATCAAAAATTTCTAAAAAAAAGAAATATTTTTTTCGATAGAAATAATCATTGAATAAATGATAATATAGATATTTTATGTTCATAGGAAATATCTTCATCAGAACTTGTATTATTATAATATTGATCATATAATGAAGAGATATTGAATACTACTAGCATAACGAAGTTTAGATGAATGACTTGTGTTAATGAGACTCTATTTGTTTTACTGCCCATTATGAAAATAAAGGGCGGGTTGGTATATTTTAAATAACTTTCAACAGGAACAAGATGGAGAGCTGTGATGAAGACACATTGAAACATCTTTACATACAAGATCACAATTATAATATATTCTTTTTATATTTTTAAAGTTGTTCATTTTTATCATGAATAATTATGCATGTCGAAAAAAAAATTAATACTCTTACGATGTTTTTGCAATTCGTCTGGATTATTATCACTTTGAATCATAAAAGTATATACGTATTAACAATTATATGTAATCATTATCATTATTAATGAGAATAGGAAGAAAACGGTTCAAAGAAATTATCACTATATAATCTATGGAAGAGAAACACGAACGATAGTTAATTGAGTGGACTTACGTAAATATAAAACATAAAATAGACGTAGGTTAGAGGAACTATTTTTATATATTTAAATGTGGAATTAAGAGACAATCGACACAGTTATGTTCACTATTTTTATAATAATGAAAAAGACCTTGAAAATTATGATTATAACTGCATGTGGATAAAATATTTCCATATTCATACACTTACATTTATTACGATACGCTAAAATGTCGCAACCTTGATGCCTAATTTTCTTATAAAATTATTAAGTAAACTGATTTATTCAACACTTTATTTTAAAAAAACGTACAAATTCGATTTATCATAACTGGAATAGTAAACATGAAATTGAATAGACACAAGAATAAGAGCAGCAAGTTCACAAAGTAGATGCGACGATGCAAAACAATTCATTTTCTTTCATTTTTCTTTTGACAAATAATCTTTAGTTTAATTAACACGCAACGGCTGCTTATCTTTATCTCGTTTTATATTCAGCTGATATATTAAATAATTTTGTTTTTTTGTTTTGGTCGCATATCTACTTTTCAAACCTTATGCATTAGCACATTATTGTTATAGTGATTTGAATGAATTTCATCACTATCTTGTATAATGTGTCGCATATTACTCTTACGATTAAGTGGAAGTATCCAAAATAAATATATGAATCTAAAGTATATCAAACGAACAATGTCCTATTTTTACAACTTATATATCATTACTTTTTTTTCGATGCCAGAAAGAATGACTTACTTCTTTTCTTTAAGTTTAGAAGCGATTATATGACCATGTCATCATCATCGAATTTGATCAATACACTTGATACTATTCAAAATCAAATAATTCGTTATGTTTATCCTCTATGGCTTGTATTTGGTACAATTGGTTGTTTATTTAATCTTGTAGTTTTTTCTCGTCCAAAACTACGAACAACTTCATGTTGTGTTTGTAAGTATTAATTTGAAAAGTCATCATTGAAGATATTTTAAAATTGTTTTTATAGATTTTTTTGCTGCATCTGCCATTCATTTGTTAACATTCGGTATTGGTCTTGGACCAGTACTATACAGTCTTAATAATCCTGATCCTCAAATACAAATACTTTCATTTTGTAAGATACGTGGTTATTTATTTCAATTAAGTATAATACTTTCTCGTTGGTTTGTTGCTTTTGCTTGTATTGATCGGTTTGCATCAACTTCTACTAAAGTTCAATTAAGAAATTTTGCTAAAACAAAAATTGCTTATCGTATAATAATAATTATTATTATTTTCTGGTCATTAATTTGTATTCATAGACTTATATTTTATGAAATTAAAGGAAATCTATGTGGTATTATAAGTAATACAGGTGCAGCATTATATCATACAGCATATGTTATTTTTGCTGTGGGTATATTTCCATCAGTAACTATGATTATATGTGCATGGCTTATTCGTAAAAATCTTATTTATCAACGGAGTAGAAGAGCACAATTTTCTTTAACTATTATTCAACGACATTCACTTAATCAACAAGTACTTAATATATTATTTATGCAAATAATTTGTTATATTGTATTTACTCTTCCTCAAATGGGTAATTTAATATTTAGTACAATATCAACTACTATTCCTAATCGATCAGATCAACATTTAGCTATTGAAAAATTTGTATTATTTATTGGAGAATTTATGCTTTATTTATTTGGTGTTACATCATTCTATTTATATACATTGACATCTCGAACATTTCGATTAGAATTTATTAAATTTATTCGTTTAGTATTTTTTCTTCATTGTAAACGTCAAATTACACCAATAATTGTATTGAGTTAGCTTATTAATTGTTTTCACCAAAAGTGGATTAAAATTTATTAGTATTGAATTTTCTCTACATTTTTCACATTCATATAAAAGTTCTATAGTCAGTTATAGTTAAGATTTTTAACAATTACTTGTGATAGAACAGTCATGTAATTATTTGTTAAGGTGATGATTTAAACTGTGTTATTTCTTTCTTAGTTATAAATCAAAACGATTATTTCAAATATTTTTTCATTTAGAGCATAAAATGAGAAAAAAAATTTCGTTCTGCAATTTCATACATAATGCGGCATACTATAAGAAGAAAAAACCGAAACTATTTTTTTCATTAACAAATATAATGACTTGATATTCAAAAAAAAAGTTAAATAAAATCTTTGTTATAACTATTAGTTCATATATAAATAAACTGAAAACGATGCCATCAGCCATTGCATATATTCAAAAGAATAGACAAACTATTGGCTTTAGCGTTTGTTACAGCCAAATCTATTTTATTATCCTGATTTAGATCACTGATGACCACAGAAGTTGGATTATCACCTGCTTTATATTTGAGCTGAGGTTGAAAAGTCCCATTTCCATAACCCAACAACACACTAACACTATCACTACCACTGTTGATCACTACTAAATCGATATTTCCATC